ACAGGGCAGGATTTAAATCAAGTGTCTATTCCTTGACTCCCTCCCAGTTATTATAGGCTGCTCCAGAATAGGCCACACTGTCACATACAAGGGAGTTAAATAACCACATTTGGACATCAGCAGTGGCTTGTTCTCAAATCCAATCAGAATTTTGTTTCTGAAATCATTTTGCAACTATTCAGACTGGTGTATTGCCTTTTTCCTAGTTACTAGTCCTTCATTCTAGTTACTTTTTTTTTTTTGGTTAGGCAATGGGGTTATGTGACTTGCCCAGGGTCACACAGCTATTAAGTGTTATGTATCTGAGGCCGGATTTGAACTCGGGTCCTCCTGAATCCAGGACCAGTGCTCCATCCACTGCACCACGTAGCTGCCCCTAAGTCCTTCATTCTAATGACCATGCCTTTATTATCAAAATTCAAAGTTTTTATTCTAATTTTCTGATTTATTCTAGTCCCCATCTGATTATCACACCTCTTACCAGGCCTGTGCTTGATCACCTGTAAACCAAGAATGTGCTGGTAAATATCTAACAACCAGTTCTCCAAAAAACTGTGCAAAGCACACACTTTTCAGTTTAATCTGCATTATCAATATTTTCTCCATCCCTTTCTCAAGTCTAGACCAGAGGTGTCAAACTTAAATGGGAATGGAGTAGACTGAATTAGCATATAAGGGTCCCTGTGGCGTTGACTAAGAAAACCATAAGTCAACATTATCTAGGTTCTATTATATATTTTTATTTATTTTGTTAAATATTTTCCAATCACATTTTAATCTGGTTCTGCCCCATGGGAGTGTTGTGGGCCTCATATTTGACACATCTTGTCTGAACAATCAACCAAACAGGAAACTAAACCCTGATTTGTAGTGTTTGCCAATTTCCAGGTGTAAATGCTCACAGTGAAAATTTAGCAATCTCTCCTAAGCCAGTAGGAGTTGGCTCCAGCACACCCTGCCAAGTTATAACCTACTCTTTTGGCTTTGTGCTTTCTTCTGAACTATCACACATACAGCAGATTACTCTTCAGCCAGGGGTTCTGGAAAATTCTTGGCTTCCAAAGAATCTTATTTATTGATTGATTTATTTGTTTTTTCATTCATTTGTTCCTCTCCCTCCTCCATCTCTCTCTCTCTCTCTCTCTCTCTCTCTCTCTCTCTCATTTTAATATAATCCACTGGTATCTTCTTGACATCAGCAGAAAAAGAAGGCCTCTGATTGGGTGGAATCTCCCTTCTCCCAACCCATTCCTCTACAGTCAACCTGTGAGAGGATATGGACACAAACAATATAGAATGGGCAGACATGGATGCGGTGTGATCTGCATTGGTGGAGGTAATGTCAGTCAACTGGCATTTATGAAGTACCTACTATGTGCAAGGAGTGTGCTAAGTGCTGAGGATACAAAGAAAGGTTAAAAAACTATCCTTGCTCTCAAAGAGGTCACAGTCTAATGAGGGAGATGACATGAAAGCAATATGTACAAAAAAGATATTCATCATAATTTTCTGAATATTTAAAAAATAATCTTATCAATGTCTTTGGTTTATGGAGTCTAATTCAGTGGTGTCAAATTCAAACAGAAACAAGGCCACTTAATTGTACATAAGAATCTCTGTAGACCCATATGGACTTAGAAAACTACACATTAATAACATTATGTTTTGTTGTATTTTTACTTATTTTGTTAAATATTTCCCAACTAAATTTTTATCTGGCTAACTCTGGTCTGATCTACCTTGTGTGCTGTGGGAAGCAATCAATCTGTCATATCATTGGAAGGATTGTAAATTGCTGCAATCCCTTTAGAGTGCAATCTTCTATATAGAATAAGAGTTTATAAACCTAACATACCCATTAGCTCAATGATCCCACTACTAGGATTAACATTACAGTTAGGGTTAGGGTTAGGATTTTATCCTACAGATTTTTTTTTCTTCAACAACAAACATTTAATTTTTTTCTCCCCTACATCCCTATTAGGAAAACTAAAAACAGAAACAAATATATACATAGTCAAACAAAGTAAATTCCCACAATGACCATGTATAAATATATCTCATTCTTCATCTTGAGTCTATTGCCAATATGTCAGCAAGTGAGCAGCATTCTTCATTTCAGTCCTCTGGAATTATGGTTGGTTATTGCACTGATCGGAATTCTAAAGTCTTTCCAAGGTGCTTGTCTTCACAATGTTATTTTTATGGTATAAATTTTTCCACAAGGTTCATTTCACCTTGCAATCAGTTTATACAAGTCTTCCTAGGTTTCTCTAGGATTTTTTTAAATTTAAAAAAAAAGGACTTCTCCATGCCCCAACCTCCCCCCCCCAAAAAATGTAGCTTTTCTGTTTGTAAAGATGAAAAATAAGAAACAACCTCTAGGTCCAATGGTTGAGGAAGGGCTGATAGGCCAGTATAAATGGGTTGCAATCTGCATCATTGGAGTGGAAATTCAGATCAATGAGATCATATATACTTTTGAGTATTTGAATGTAGGCCAATGTATATTTTGCCATAGAATATTTTGCCATAGAAATGAGAACCAATAAAAAATAAAAAGAAATTTGGAAGACATGAAGTGATGCAGAGCAAAGAAAGTAGAATTAGAAGACAAATATACAATTGTTGTAGAAAAATAATAGCAACAAAACTTTCAGAGTATCAGAAGAGAAAATGAATCATTTTGATTATACAAAATAAAAAGCTCTTACGTGAAAAAAATCTAATAAGGCTAAGATTAAGAAGGAAACAATTAACTGGGGAAAAAAATTCTTGTGGCAAGTTTTCTGATACATGTCTCATTTCAGAGATATATTAAGGAAATGATTTAAATTTATAGGAAAAAGAGCCATTTACCAATCAATAAATGATCTAAGCATAGGAACAAGTAGTTCTCAAGGAAAGAAGCTCTCTATGACCAGTTGAAAAGATGTTCCAAATCACTACTAATTCAAGAAATGAAAATTAAAGCAATTTTGAGAGATCACCTCACACCCATCAAGTTGGCAATGATGACAAAAAAGGAGAATGATAACTGTTGTAGGGGCTATGGGAAAACAGGCATATTGGAATTATACTCAAAAAGCTACTAGCAGTACATGACTTTTGACCCAGCTATGTCAGTCCTATGTCCAAAAGAAATTTAAAAAAAAAAGACGAAGTAGTTCCTTATGCACAAAAACATTTATAGCACTTCTTCTCGTGATGGCTAAAACCCCCTGGAAACTGAGAGGATGTCTAAGAATTGAGGAATGATTGAATAAGTTGTGTTCTGTGAATGAGTGAGTTCTATTATGCTATAAGACATGAGGAAATAGATGATTTCATAAAGACATGGAAAGACATAAACTTGTACAAAATGAAGTAAGTATAATCAGAAGAATATATTATGACATTAATATAAAAATAAACAATTTTTAAGATTTTTATAAGCTGATGAAGAATGAAATGGGCAGAACTAGGTGAATAATTATTCAATAACAGCACTGCAAAAACATACTACTTTGAAAGCTGAAAGTTGTACATCAGTACAATGGTCATCCAAGATTCCTGAGGACAGATGAAGAAATGTGCTATCCTTCACAGAAAGGTGATGTATTTAGGATATAGAATGAAACAGACATACATGTGTGTATATGTATATATGTATATATGTATATGTACACATATGCATACATATATACACACATAAATACATGCACACATGCATATGCAGCCACAGAGGGAATTTTATTTGACTATGCATATTTAGTAAGAGACATTTCCCCTCCTTTTTTCCCGAATGGGATGGCGGATAGAAAATAGATTTCTATTAATTTAAAAAAAATTGAAAGTCACAAAGCAATGTCACAGATAGAGGTTTCAGATGAGATCACTGTATTATTAGTTTTATTTACTTGTTTTACTTTGTTACAATAGACTTTTCATGAAGTGGAAAGTAATCTGTAAATGTTTATAAGACAAAACCAAAACAAAACAATAAAACTTTTTTTTAAAGTAGCACAATTCAATTCTATAAGTGTTTATTATACATCTACTATGTTCAAGGCACTTTGCAAGTTTCTGGGTTTGAGGACAGCAATTTCTGCCTTCAAAGATGAAAGAGAGTATGGGGGCAGCTAGGTGATGTAGTGGATAAAGCACCAGCTCAGGAGTCAGTAGGACTTGAGCTCAAATCCAGCCTCAGGTACATATTACTTACTAGCTGTGTGACCCCTGGGCAAGTCACTTAACCCTCATTTCCTCACCAAAAAGAAAAAAGAGTATCAGAAAAGGACACAGGCAAATAAGTAGTTATTTTGTTAAAGTTTATTTTTATTTTATCAGAATATGATTGCGGCATTTATAGTTATGTTTAGAATTTTATTTTTCTTTCTTTCTTTATTCTTGTATTGTTTATTGTCTCCTCTATAGGTATATAGCCTCCTCAAGGACAGTGACTTTTTCAGTTCTGTCTTTGTATACCCAGCACACACTGCCTGGCACATGGTAAGTACTTAGTAATAGCTGATTGCTTGTTCTTATTTGTTAGGAATATTATGTTTATGATGCAAAATCATTGAAAAACAAAACAAAACAATATCCTCATAAAAACAAAGACTGGCCCTTGTGTACCTTCCTTTACCTTTACTTTTTTCTTCTTCCCTATTTGACCTGAGTTCAAATCTGGCCGAAGACCCTTACTATCTGGATGGTCCTGGGCAAATGATTTAATCCTGGTTGCCTTTTTTTGGTGGGGGGAGGGGATGGTAATTTAACCATTTTATTAATAAAGCCAGCAGATTACTAAAAGGATAGTTATTTGGCCGTCTGTCATAGACTGAAGAGCCCTAATGGCAGTGGGGTCACAGTTTATATGCCCTTCAAAGAGGAGGTGATCCTGAGGGATGCCTAATCACCTCTGATTGGTTAAGCAATGGGAGGTAAGCTATCTTGGGGTACTTGACTTAGGTCACTCAAATCTTGGTGGAAGAGATATCAATTTCCATATCACTTACCTTGATAATAGGGAGAATCAATATTTTCCCAGGCCTCTCTGAACAAATACTAGGAGCAGGAATATATCCATTAACCAAAACTTAGAATTTCTTTTACTGTCTGATTAGATCTTGGCCTGGGTAAATCTTTAAGAGAGATTTCCCATACTGGTTGATTTCTGGATGAGGAAGTAGAAAAGGAGAAAAACATTGGCCCTAATAAAATAGTTGTTAAACGTAAAAGAGAAATATTCATTTCACACATTCCCCCAATTGATCCGAAATGAGAGACAGTCTCCTCAACAAATCTCTAACTGATATTACAAACATTTCATCAAGGTTTCTTAACTATGAGACATACGATGGATAACAACATGAGAGGGAAAAGGGGTGAAAGTGATCGATGCATTGACAAATTAAAGGGTAGTCCCCTTTGGTAAGCAGACCTTACAGATAAGAGCTGCAAAGGGAAAAAGTAAATAATAAAAAAAAATTGTCCATTTAGGGCTCAGAAGTCTCATCTCATACATCTCATGTAGGGAAAAAGACTTCAGCCTTCATTCAAGCCAAATTAAGTCTATTCAGCATTCCTCAAACAGGCCATTCTCATCTTAGCCCAGTCCCTCTCTTTCTGGAATGCCTAAACATCACATATTTATCCTCAAATACATTAGGGGAAGGATGCCGGGCTGTTTTCAGTCATCTTGATCTATATCTTACCACTGGACCCAGACGGCACCAGAGGAGAAAGTGAGGCTGGTAACCTTACACAGCCCTGCCTCACTAAAATCCAATTCATTTGCAAGTCAGGGCATCACCTTCCACATGTCATGGTTCCTCTTTGAGAATGAAGGACAAACAACAACACAGAGGAAGGAGCATAGTAGCCACAGACCAGGCATCACAAAATGAACTGCTGTAAGCCTAATTAAACTCACCCCATCATGCTCATGCCTTCTCATCTTCTGTGATTCTTACATTCTAAAGCAATCGGTATAGAGCTCAGGCTGTTGACCTTTGACACTCCTCCTCCATTTCTACTACACGATGTACCCACCTTCTTTTCTGGTCATATATTTCCTGGAAAATAAAAAATTAAACATATATGCATATATGTATGTATACACATACATCCTTATGCTACTTCTTACAGGTAGGTCATTGTTGGAAATATGCTGTTGACTTTCTTCAACTAACATTGTTCTCTGGGTCATGTGTAACTGTAGTTCTCTGGAGAGAGTGGTATTCCAAGATTTACAACCATGCTGCTGGTGTTCCCAGAAGAACATCTGTGTTTAAAAAAGAAAAAAGATGGGCTTTTGTGGCACTTCGCAGTCATTGAAGTAGTACTCCACAATGCCCCAAATCTAATACAACATGCTCTCCTCCTATTCAGCTCCTATGGGGAGTCCAGATGGAAGAGGGATTTCATATAGATAGGGAGATTCTCTAAGCACCTCATTTAAAAAAAATGTACTTTCTCATATTAATGATCTTTAAAGGTACATGTCTTATCTTCCCAACAAGACAGTAAGTCCCAAGAGGGCAGGGGCTATGTCTTATGCATGATTGTATCCATGATGTATAGCATAGTATCCTTTATGTCAGACTCAAATAGAAAGGAGAAAGGGCACTAAATAGTACCTAAGGACCCCTATGGGTGCATTTTGAATTAGAAAACCACATCTTAACATTATCTTTGTTTTATTGTATTTTTATTTATTTGGTTTAATATTTCCCAGTTACATTTTAATTTGGTTTGAGCTGCATGCTTGACACCTCGGCTTTATATACTATTTTTTGTTGTTTTTAGTGAGGCAATCAGGGTTAAGTGACTTGTCCAGGGTCACATAGCTAGTATCATGTGTCTGAGGCCAGATTTGAACTCAGGTCCTCTTGACTCCAAGGCCAGAGCTTATCCACTGCATCACCTAGCTGTCTGGGTATTTTTTTTCTATGGTCAATTTTTTTTTATCAATGGTTAACAGTGAGGCATCCCCTAGTTAGAACCTACCTGAAGGAGTAGAGGATTGTTATGGAGACAATTTGAAAACGTAGTCCTGAACCCAGAGCAATCTCCTTGGAGTGCAGGCTGGAATGGAAGGGAGCTATCATCTTTAGCTTTCAAAGGCCTCATCCTTAGCCAAAATTGGGGATGACCTTATGAAAGTAATGTCAATCACTCCCTGATTTAAATGGCTTCATTAGGGATTCTAGAACTTCAGAGCTCAACTACTTCTCTCTGCCCCCTTCCTCTCTACCAGGATTTTTCTCACCAGAGTTCCAATACTTGGGGATCTGAAAGGGAGACAATCTTTTCTATCAAACCAATCCACCCTATTGTAATCTAGTTAAAACCACAGCTATGGGAAGGGATCAGGTTTGGGCCAGATCCTAGAGTGTGACCTTGATGTGTATTTCCATTAAATTAATTCATATATTCAAAATTTTAAGAAGTACCTTTTGCACTTAGGGCAGCTTAGTAAGCACAGTAAGAGGTAGGGCGGGATTTGGGGGGGTGGTGTCACTGCAGTACAACAAAGTTTTTAAGAGACCTGGGTCCATCATAAAATGTAAGCTTCTTGAAGGCAAGCACAATGGATGGAAACGACGAGATAGGTAACTTGACACAGTGGGAAAAGCACCGGATGTGGAATCAGAGGAGCTAGCTTTGCATGCTGGCTCTGCTATTTACTCACTGAATGAATGACCTTGGGCTTCCTTCAAGTCCCAGCTAAAATCTTGTCTTCTACAGGAAGCCTCTCCCCATTCCCCCTAAATTCTGGCCTACTCTTTTTTGATTGTCTCCCAGTTATCTAGTCCATATCTTGTTTGTACTTGGGTGTTTGCGTTTTGTCTTCCTCATTAGACTGTGAACTCCCTGAGGGTAGGGTCTGCCTCTTGCCTTTATATCCCCAAGCACCTAGTAGGTGCTTTGTTGACCCACTAACTTAACATCTCAGGGCCTCAGTTTCCTCATCTGTTAAAATGGGGGAGGTTGGAGCAGATGGTCTCTAAGGTCCCTTCCAGTTTTAAATCTATAATCCTAAAACAGGTTGCTGTCCCCTAGTTTAGTGGCCCAGTACTGGTGGGCCTGGTGTCAGGAAAGCCTGAGTTCAAATACATCTTTAGATATTTACCGGCCCAGCGTATAACCCTAGGCAAGTCATTTGATCTCCATTTGCCTCAGTTTCCTCAATTGTAAAATAAGGATAATAATAGCACCTACCTCCCAAGGTCGTAATGAGGATAAAAGGAGATACTATTTCTAACGTGCTTAGCACAGAGCCTTCCCCTGGCCCTCCTCCCTCTCCCCCAATTTGCCAGCTTTTTTTGAGGCCGACAATAAATACACAGTACCTGGAAAACAAAGGATGTGTAATCTCTGCAGATTCAGGCTCTGAAAGAGATAGATTCTCTTGGTAGATTAATCAGAGATGATGCTTTAAGGAACTTTTTGATTGAAAGAAAGAACCCAGTCTTAGTGTAACCTACCTCCGCCAGAGAAGTCTGCTGGAGGAGATAAGCTAGAATTGGGAGATTTGCCATGCTGGGTATGTGCGCAGCGCCAGAGCAGTGAGGAGCAGAAATGGACAAATGTGGGTTTATACTCTACACTCATCACACAAGATCATGGATTTCGAGTTGGAAGGGACCTTAAAGGGCACCTTGTCCCACCCCCTCATTTACAGCGAGGCCCAGAGAAAGGAAATAACTTGGTCAAGGTCACTCAGGTAATAAACAGCAGAGCAGGCATTAAAATCCAATTCCCCGAACTCCAAACCAGTCCCTTGTCGACTGAATCTCCCTTCTTCCCTGCGAGTCTCACTGGAGGCCAGGAACAGCTGCCAACTCAAAAATTAAAAGGAGGCGCCAGCATTCTGTTTAGCAACTCCGCTCTTATGCAGGAACGAAAGTTTCCCTTAAAAGTTGAGATACGTTTGAGAGCCGGTTTACAATACGACTAATTGGGGAAAAAAGAAAAACAGTAGCTTGGGCTGCTGGAAAACAAACAAACAAACAAACAAAAACAACACAGTAGGGGGAGGGAATTCACAGCGAGGTCGAGACAATAATATTCTTCATCCCGAAATTGCTGAAGGTTCTTTTCTCCTTGTCTTTTTCTCGTTCCTGTCCTGAACTGGGACAGCTAGATATTTCGCGGCAGTACAGCTACCCTGGCTGGCTCGGAGGAAGTCCCTTTGATTTTAAGGCACGACTCAGTACTCCCACTTTTTAAAGAGCCAGAACCTCCATCCTCACTTAAAAAAAACACAAAAAAACGGATCTGCATTGCCAGCCCAAATATCTGAGCCCCAGAGGGTGACTGCAAGTGGGCAGACTGTAACTCCCATTACTATTAAACACTCAAGTTTCAAACCTTGAAGCGATAGACAGAAGGGAGAAAAAAGAAGGAAAGGGACAGGGAAGGGGAAGGGGGGGAGGAGGGAGCCCCTGACATTGACAAAGAGTCTAAACAAGAGTTGCACACGCTGGTGTCCACTACGTTGCCTGGGGCCGCTCGTCCTGCTGGGACTTGTAGTCTTCGGGGGAGCCACTTCCCGGGCTGGCGGGGATAGCGGGGCCCCGGGTGGAACTACAGCTCCCAGGGAACGCACAGAAGCCCTCCCGCTCCGGGTGAGAGTGTGTAAACTAAGCGAGCCCGAGGGAGCAGGGGAGGACAGGGGGGGAGGGAGTGGGCTGTGGCTGGCACTGCGAGGGGGCGCCGGGCGCCGTCCCTGGCCCCTCCCCGCCGCGCCCCGGGCTCCTCGGCTGTTGCTGCCGCTGCCGCTGCGGCTGCCGCTGCGCCTCGGCTCGTGCGTGCGCTCCGCTCCAGCCGGGCGCCGCGCGGGCAGGAGCCATGCAGTCCGAATCGGGGATCGTGCCGGATTTCGAAGTCGGGGAGGAGTTTCACGAGGAGCCCAAGACCTATTACGAGCTGAAGAGTCAGCCTCTGAAATGCAGGTGAGTGACAGCTGCCGGGAGGGAGGGAGGGAAGAGGAGGACACTTCTCTTTCCTAGCTGGAGGGAGGTACCCCTCTCCCCTGGAGTGCCATGGCCGCGTCCCCCAGACAAGGACAGTTAGTCCCCTCGTGAAGGACCCTGTGCCCTTGCCCCAAGGCGGAGGAAAAAAAAAAAAACTCTCCCCGACACTGTCCGGAGCGTAGATTGGCTACGCTGCCAATTTGGGGCCCCCAATGGGGAAAGCGCGGTTGTAGGTGACGCCCACCTTAGAAGAAAGAATGCACCTGTGAGGAATGTTGCTGTCCTGTGGGCCACCCCGCATAGAGAACGCACATCTGGGGAAGGTTACCCCCCCCCGCGCTTCTCCAGATGCATGCCAGGGGGATGCTATCCTCCCACTTCTTTGCAGGGAGGCATGTTGCCCTTACTTTTCTGAAAGGAGTATACTTCTCTGGAGTACTTTGCCCCCTACTTTCCTGAAGGGAGGATGTATATCTGCGGTGCTTTGCTCCCCCTTTCCTAAAGAAGGATGAACCCCCCACTTTTCTCTAGGGAGGATATATAATTGGGGTGCCTTTCCCTTGTTTTCTTGTAGATAGCATGAATCTCTGGGAGGGTGGGAGACTGTGTTTCTTTCCTGCAGGAAGGATTCAGTCTGGGTTTTGTGCCCCCCCTCCCCCTTTCCTCTAAGGAGGATGCATATCTGGGGTACCTTGCTGTCCACTTTCCTGCGGCATGTTGTCTCAGTTCTGCAGAGAGAATGAATATGTGGGGTGCTTCACACCCCCTCCTCCCATCCTCCGCTTTGTAGGCAGAGTTCACATCTGGGGTACTCTTGCCCCACCCCCTCGCTACCTCGGAGAGAGCGAACATCTGGGGGACTGTCTTGCCCAAGACCATTCTGCGATAATAGTTCTCCCCATCCTGTCCCCTAGTGAGGACCTTGGGACGCCCCCTTCGGCCAGGAGACCCAGGCACTGGCACATGGGAGGGTTGGGATCCTAGGTGAGGTCGGGAAAAGAGTTTTCAGAGGCTCGGATCTGAGAGTTAACAGACGTCTGGTTTGGAGACCCCGCCCCTGCCAGAGAAGTTGGGAGTGTAAACTGGGGCCACGGACCCCAAAATCTAGGGAAGGGAGTGATGGAAGAACCCGAGAGTCTTCTGTCTGAACCGAGCCTACTCTGGAGCCTGGGTGGGAGGGAGCCGTGGCAAGGGGGCGGCCGCCAGTTCCTTGCCTGTCAGCCCCCTGGAGTCCTGCCCCTCCGAGGAAACCCGCCACTGGCAGCCTGCAGGTGAGTTTTGCTC